ATACATACATACATACATACATACATACATACATACATACATACATACATATGCATTTGGTTGGTTAGAGTTATATATCAATCTATACGCATGTGTGTGTGTGTGTGTTAATATTCCATCGTGTGTACGTATTAGTACGAAAACAAAAATGATGGCTCAGAGTAATTAGAAGATAACATTACAAAATTAGCGCTTTTCTCCATTTATTTGTGGAAAAGGCGTGGCTTTACAATAAGGACATGAGAAAATGCCTCAGGATGTCTTCTCATACCAAAAAAATGTTATTATAGAAATACTATTTTTACTTTGGCCTAGAGGCTGATGGCTTTGGTGGAACAACTCTTTCAGTCGATCTTATTTTCCAGCCAACTGATTTTTATCCAAATGTATCATATTCTTAAGAACCAATTACTTCGAACTCGTAAGTTTACTTTTGAAGGCATCGTTTGGAAGAAAATGTATAATAGAGCCCAATTCAGCCTCCTTCTAAATAATGAAAATCACACGAGAAGGTAAACTAGTACTCTTTTCTTATTCCGTTTAAAGTCGTTGTCACAAGGACGATAAAGGAATAGGCATCCCTACAGTTAGTCAACAATCTTTGGTCCAACTAAATCTGTGTATCATATTAAAATGTTTGCTGAGTTGGCGGTAAATCTAGACATTACTGAACTCCCATTATTCACCTCTAAAACAAGCTGATCGTTCGCATCATTCTGTTGCCATAGAGACCGCAATCTGGGCTGTTCACTCGGACGAATGACCTCTGGTCATGTCGACTGATAACGTATAAAGGTCTGACCGGTTTGGAGTGGTAGCTGCCATTCAGCGATTTCAATTTTCTCGTCTGAATCCCGCCATTCTAACCACCGTCACACTTTCATTCACAATTGCAAACAGAGCACATTGTGCAGATCGAATGTTGACAGAAATTCTGGATCCCTTATCCTGTTTTAATGCATAATGAAAAATGGAGAACAGTTGAAGAATGACAGACAACTAGAAAAAATATCAAAGGCGTCAGCAAAAGCAATGTCATTGTGAGCAGGGATCAGAAATATGCTGAATGGCATCAGAATTGGAGCAAATGAAAGACATGTGTAATGACTCAAATTCACTTTCACACTCATCTGTTCCCGTCCACAGCATCAAAAAGGATCAAGAATAGAGCGCATTATTCAAAACACACGATCCGCAGTTCTCCATCAAGTGTATGTGTGTATGTGTGTTTGTGTGTGTGTGTGTGAAGAAGTGAGGAGAAAGATGGACAAGGATGCAGAATAAAACCGGGCAACCGAGTTAAATTAAATTAATTCCACGTAACTCATTTCAATCATGTCGGCTGGTAGCGTCCAATTTCCAAAAGCGTGGATGGAGGCTACTTCTTCCATATTTCAGCCCAACGGTACATAAAAAGTGTCTACTTGCAAAGCGTTCTTTAAAGAATAGTGAAAGGAAGCGACAAAGTGGGCTAAAGAGGAGGGGAAGGAAAAAAAATGTGGCTCTCTGCTTCGGTAAAGTGAAGATACCTTTTTCCCACCCAACCGACATCGCCAAGAGACGACAGGTTACGACTTTGGCCATTTCAAGCTTAGCGCCTAAGCAACTCTCACGCAAAATAATGTCAAATAATCGACAGCCGCAATTTGTTTCCTCTTTTAACTCCCAAATAGAAGTTGAACCGAGTAGTAACAGCATCAGAAATGAGGGCATCAAAGTCTTGTCACACATTTTTGAACAAGTTGCAAAGTGTGTGGAATGGGCACTATTTTGAAAGGGATTTGGTGCGATGATGTGAAAGATGGAAACTTGTCTACAATCAGGCTCATGAAATAAATATTTGGCCTAAATGGGAAATGGAAGCGTCAGATGAAGAAGATGTTCCCTGTTCGAAATAGGACGTCATCTTCAGGACGGTCAGCGAGGAGGCTAGGAGGGCTCTTTTGCATTTGTGGACGTCTTAGATGAGCTGTTCTGCCTTTTCGCCTCGACGCGATGGTCGGAGGGCAAAGCAGGTGCTGGAGAAGAGCTTTGCTCGCCTTTGAAGAGTGGGTTGTTCACCTCCAATTCGCCATTCTGTATGATTGAGAAAAAAAAGAATGCAACTTTATTCGATCACGAACTGGTCCCAAGACATTGCTGTAGATTACCAAGTAGAAATGGTACAAAATATCACCGGATTGCTAGAGCCTTCGCATAATCAAAACCTTAGCATGCCGTTTGGTCGACCTGCAAGAATCACAAAAGTAGGACTCGTCAAAGAGGGCTTTGGTCAGACGATGCGAGTTGAACGAAGACGTCTTGAGAGTTGCAGTCTTGAAGTTTGTCGTCAAGAGAACGGATGCAAGCAAGTCAGACGAAGGAGAGTTGGGTTTCGAGGACTCGCTTGATCAGGTTTTGAATAAAAATGAGCGTTATGACATGCTTCGGGGCTCGTTCCAACCTAACAACAGATCCCTCCTGGCTGTACTGGGACAATCTTTTTGTGCTGATCAAAATGTGTCAAACATTCGTCCGGCATGACGAGCATCATCAATCAGTCTATGAATGCTGTAGATGTGCTTTTTGATGGGGTATCATGTGATTTGGTTGATTCAAGCCATACGTCGATCCGAATTTGTGTGTGTGTGTGTGTATGTGAAAACATAAAATAAAGTTCCTCAACCCAACCGGACGTGTTTCCGACACCTCGTAAACGGAGTGATTGGTAAAATATCAAAAATTCGTAGACATTAAGACCAAGATGGCATGGCGTTGCTAATTTGACATGGTTTTCCCAAGTCACTCGGAGCATCAGGCCGACTTTGTGGAACCTACTTGATCGTGCGTCAGACCCTTGACTCGGTACATTCCTAAACGTTTTTCTGCTTACTGACGATGTCGATTGCGATGCCGGCGAAACGTTTGTCAATGTGCCAAGTGAATGGTCCGATGCTGGAAATGGCGAGTACGACCAAGTTCGTTCCACAAGGCCTCCTTGATGCTCCGACCAACTTGCAAACACTACGTCCAACAAGCACTATCAAATAAAAGGGTTTGCCGTCAATTAATCTCAACTATTGAGAAACGATGTTACCTTCTCTTCTCATCACCTTGACCTATCACTACTGGTC